TGTACCGCACTTAAAACGATTTCTTTTTTCCCCGTCTTACAATAGCCAACGGTGCTGGTAATGGAATTTTCAGTTGTATTATTTTTTTGTTCTCCTTAGTGGGTACAGCACCGACAATTTTGGCGAAATCCACCAATTTTCTCAAACCCAAACGATGACTGAATATTGACGCGAATAATTCCAGATCCAACGTGAAATTATAAATTATCAGAGACAAAATCATACAATGTATCACTCCTTTGTCTTTTACGCTGTTTGGTCTCATCCTGCAGATTATATTAATTTATTTATTAAATTGGTAAATTTAGTTCTTATGAATCTATCATATTCCTTCGAACGCACCGTCCATGAGTACTTGGAACACTATATGTATCTAATATATACAAGTTAATTTCTTCAGAAGCTGGACAAACATCGATAATTCGTTTCTTAGCATCTTTGTACGGCGTGTTCATCCACGACGCAACTCCTTGAACGTAAAGTAACAATGCAATTTTTTTCACACTGTCCCCTTCAAACTTTAAATACTTTAATGTCTGATTGAAGAATGTGGTTTTCCTGGAAGTATAACAAATGTGTAAATAATACATCTTAAAATTGCCTGTTATAATATGGGACAAAGAAACATACCCTTCTGAAGTATTAGAACTATCATTTAAAATATCTGCAGCATAATCATACATAGTTTTCAGTTTGTTTTTTGGTATAATATCATATATATTATATACATCATTTGGTGTATTTGCATTTCTATTGCATTCTGGTAAAGCAGTATTTGTAATATATTCATTTTCTGGTAATTCTATCGATAACTCTGTTCTATCAATTTCAACATCTACAAGGAAAACAAATTAAAAATTCCTCTTATGAAAAATAACATAACATTATAGCATACACTTCACCAGTACTTATAAAAAGAAATCCTTACCAGTTACAGTATCTTTGAGTTGCTCTTTAATATGCTCTACATTCATTTGTAATCTCTCATGCTGTTCTGTTCTTCGCTTTACTCTCTTTGAACCAAACTGTTTATTTAACATAGCAATCTTTGCTTCATCTGCCATATTGTCTTCCACTACTGGTTTATCCAACACTGCAGTCACTTGCCATCTTTCAACTTGAACTAGTCTCACTTTTCCTGTTTTTCTGTTATGAACCACAAGCATAGTATGCATCATGTCTTGGTCCATATCAGGTTTATAACCTTTGTAAACAATCTGTCCATTTGACAAAGCCAGTGTGGTTTTCTTTTTCTTCTGATCATAAAATACACCACATGACATCTTTTTGGCTTCCTCATCTTTAAGTGCTCCATTTTGAAAGTTAACTGTAAAATAATCGTACAATTTCTGTTAAAACGAAAATATGTAATATGCTAGGTATAGGTTAACAAATGTGACAAATTGCTTTATGCTTGTATTTCAAAATGGAACTAACAAAAATAAATGACAATCATAATTTAAAAAACACACGTGAATCGTTTCGAAAGGATATTATAACAAAATTTTGATTATTTTATTCGAAAAAATAAGAGAGCATAATATTAAAGCAATTCTTAATGAATATATGTTCGATACCAATAATCGGTTGAATCTTAGACGGTTCCATAATTACGTCTTCAATAACCGCATCGATCGGTCGTTTCATTTTTGACAGATATTGTTGGTCAACTTTTTATTGTCATGAAAATATTACATTCGTTCGTCGAAAATTTTAAAACGACTATGAAAACATTAAAGCGCCCTCGGAAGTTAGCGTCTTTCCGTTTGCGTCACCGGAAGAGAAAATGTTTTGGTTGAATTTCTAAACGATCTGTAAGAGCGTAAACTCATTTTAGAACATAACTGTCATTCTTTTTCATTACAATTTTCATATTTTTCATCAACAACATTTAACGAATGATATAGCCAAGAATATGATTGAGCAAAAGAATTTTTATTCTCGCAAAGATTAAAGAATTAATAGTGTTTCTTCTTAAGGCATAAGCATTGCTGGTTACGCTCCTGGCCTGTACTATCCATATGAACTTTCGAGAAGTGTGTAATACGTGAATTTTGTGTGAAATATCCGAATGATTTGTGTTTGATAATTATAAAAGATCGATCTAATGGCTAACGAAGAAGCAGCCGTAAAGGATGGCAATGAAGTAAGATTTGCAATTAAATGGTATAAAATAAATGGAAATACAATGGTGTTCGAATGGCAGATAAAAATTTCGATCTTTTGCAGATGCCAGTTCCCAAAATAAGATACGATTGGTATCAAACAGACGATCTTGTCGCAATTACAATTTTTGCAAAGAATGCGATTAATGTTATTGTTGATTTTCAAGAAAATACGGTAAATATGGAATTTAGTAATACAAGGATGTATGTTCTTTTGCTGAACGATTTATTTTAAATTTGTATCGATTGTATTTAATTGTTTTCAGTTGAGTGTGTCAGCTGCATTACCATCAGGAAATGATTATTCCATGGAGTTAGATTTAGCTCATCCAATAGTACCAGATGAGTGTTGCTACAAGGCTGGTTCTGCTACAATACAAGTCAAGTTGAAGAAAAAAGATGGAATTACATGGAATTCCTTAGAAAGAAGTGCAGAAGTACCAATCACACCACAGCCTATTCCTCAAGGTAAACTGGATTGTTTCATAGTTTTTAGAGTTATATCTAAGCAGTATTTGCTTTACAATATAACATTAAAGTGAGAATGTAATTTCTTTCTGTTTTTAAAGTTGTACAATGTGAAAAGGATCCATCACAGTATCCCAGTTCATGTAAAAAGACAAGAAATTGGGATAAATTAGAGAAAGAGATAGAAAAACAAGAGGCAAAAGAAGAAAATGAGGCAAAGGGAGAAGCTGCTCTCAATTTTTTGTTCCAACGCATATATGTTAATGCTCCAGATGAAGTTAAACGTGCAATGAATAAATCCTTTGTAAGTACTCCTTAGAACAGATATGATAGATATGTAGCAGTTCAACGTTGATTTTAACATTATAATATTTCTAAAAACAGCAAGAGTCTGGTGGTACAGTGCTAAGCACAAATTGGTCAGAAGTAAGTAAAGGTCGAGTTGAAAGAAGACCACCAGAATGTTTGGAATGGAAACCTTGGAATACATAAAGGAGTTGAAATAATTGATATTTAAATTGCTGACTATTTAACAAAATAATTTCATTTTTTCATAAAATCATTTAATAAATATTTAACATACTAAAATGTATCTGATATCTTTTATCCTGTAGATACTCTGTTGTATATTATAAAGTTAATAAGTTAAACAATTGTCTCTATCTAATAAAGGAATCACATAAAGTGTTGCTTTCAAATTTTGGTGAAAGGTGGACAGAGAATTGAGAAATATTGGATAGTGTAATACTTCTTGTTGTTCCTTTGTATGTATCATGTTGTATTTGTCCAATTTATTAAATATATATGAGTAATTTTCGGAAAAATTTCAGTTTTTTGTTCCTTACACAAAGTGCAAAAGAACTATATACACTAAATTAAACTACATTGTATAATAGCAAGTTCTTCATATAACTATCAGTTATATGCATCATATTAATATATTCTTTATTTTACTGTATAATATTGTACTTTTACTAAAAGTTTTACAAATAAATAAATGCTTGTTACAATGGAAACATCATTTCAGTTGAAACAATATCATTAATTTGTTAATTACTATGCACCATACAATAAGTTTATCCTGTTAATGCTCTAATTATACATAAGCCAACAATGCACAATGCTAAAACATAAGCTCTGTGTGCTATTACTGAATTGCTTTCATCTGCTCCTTCATGAACCACCACTACTTCCTGTTTGTTGTTATTCTCCCATTCTTTTAGGATTTCAGACAATTTATGAAAATTATTTTGCATGATATTTTCAGTGCTTTGTTGTGCTTTAGTTATACTACTTTGAATATTTACTATTCTCTTATTGTTGTATATCATTGAACCTGCCAATGATATAATTGCTAATATAGCAGATGACAAAATAGATAAATATTTATACTTCTGTGCATTCATAGTTTGGCTATCATGGTATTCTTTGATAGCAGTTGCTAATAATGTAAAATGCTCTTTCTCCTCATTTTCTAATAAATTAAGCTGTGATGTAACTCTTGCTTGATCTTGAAGATTTTTATTTTCTATTATTGTCAATTGTACATATTTTGGATCATTTCTTTTAGTTTGAATGAGTTCTGAATATACTTCCTTTAATTTATCATTTATTATTGCTGCTTCACAATTTAAACTTCTCCTATCATCTTGACATTTAAACAACCTATTCTGAGCAGATATTACTTGCTGCTTAGCCAACTCAACTGTATCCAAACCTGTTATTTGTTGATACCATCGTAACCACTTTACAACTTTCTTTGGTAATGGACTTGGCTCTAATTGTGATGCATTTAAATTTTGAATTAAAGTTATGTCACTGTTCACTCGCTGAAATAAAAAAATTGATTTGATTAAATATATTTTTTTAGTTAATTAATCTCTTTAAAATGTGCATCAGTGCTACTCCTCTTACCTTTGCAATAACATTATATTTTAAAGCAACAGCATTTTGAATGTTGTTCAATTTTTCTTGGGCCTTTCCAGTTACACTATTAATTTTTGTAGTTGCATTGTTAAACAGTCGATGTTTATTTATTTCATTGCCTAGAGTTTTCATGAACGATCGAAATCTTTCTGCCATTATATGTATTTATTGTTCAAATTGTATAAAGATTTAAAATATCAAAATGAGTGACTTGGCACAAGTTTTATTGTACGTTATCATGTTATTTCTTAATTCCTATATAACCAATATTATATCATAAAATACAGATTACCTTTCAAGAGATAGTATCAATAGGAACAATGTTTCCAAAATTAATAATTATTAAATTTCATAAATAAAAAATAAAATGCACGAACAATATTTTTTTAATTTTAATTTTTTAAATGAAAAATATAATCTTTCTGGTTGCAAGGATATCGTCCGAATTTATTAAAGGCACGTTTGCAATGGCTGCTTATAAGACGCAGATTTAGATGTGAAATTTGACTGACTATTACAACCACTTTATAATCATATGGTATTACAAAAATTACATAATTTCTTATGCATAATAGTTTTGCATATAAACATAAAAATATAATAAATGTACAAATATATCTTGTGCATTTAACAATTAACTTCGCAGTTTTCGACGTATAGTTAATATATGTAGTATTGCTGCACATTCATTTTTTTAAGCAGTTTTATTCTTTATTTATAAAACGTTGCATCATGAAAAGAAGCACACGACAAGGAGATGAACCTGGAGATGTTTCAAGTGATGAATGTTATATTCTTGAGGAAACAGTTCCCAAACCAAGTCAAAAGAAGGAAAAGACATTGATTCTAAAAGATGATACAATTGCAAACAGTAGAAAAAGGAAGGGTACTACTGTTTCATTACCTGAGAAGAAGAAGAGAGTGGCTGTGGAATCTGAAAATAAAAATGTGAAATTAGAATCTGCAGTTGATATAAAGGAATCAGAAAGTTCAAAGAAAAAGATACAAAGTAGAAATGTAAAAAATAGAAAGAAAGAAGTACAAAGCACTGACAAAGAAAATATTCAACAGACATTAAAAGACACAAGTCAAATATTATTTAATTCTGTAGAATGTAACGAATGGAGTGATGTAGACTATGTTAGTGAAGTAAATAATGTTGAAAAGCACATAGCAGCAAATGTTGTAAAGCTTTTCAATGATGATAACACAATTCCATTTATTGCAAGGTATAGGAGAAACATGACTAATGGCATGGAAGCTGATAAATTAAGAGCATTGAAAGAAAGTCTTGATCAGGCTAAATCAATTAAACAACGTGCCAGCACTATATTGAAATCTATTGATAAATTAGGACAGTGGAGTCCTAGTATATATTCTGCTGTTGTGTCTGCCAAAAGCTTAGATGACTTAGAACACATATATTCTCTTTTTAAACCAGCATCTAAGCGAAGCCTGGCAGAAAGGGCAAAAGAAATAGGCTTGGGACCTATAAGTGATCTAATAATACAGGGTCAAACACTACCTCCCTTATCATCTATGATTGACTCTAACAAAAGTGGTTTAAAAACTGAACAAGAAATTAAAGATGGAATTATACATATAGTAGCAGACATTTTAAACAAAGACAAATTGATATTTGACAAAGTTAAAGATCTCCAAAATGAATCTCTTATAAAAATAGAAGCCACTAAATGTAAATCCAGGAGTAAGTCTTCAAATGATAAATTGAAAGATATAAATAGGAAGTATGAGATGTATTATGATTTCAGTACAAATACCAGATACATTAAACCACATCAGATACTGGCTATTAATAGAGGAGAAGCACAAAAAATTCTTACTGTCAAAATTGTCTTGCCTCATTTTTTTGAAAGAGAATTTAAAGCTCACTGTTACAAGCAGTTTAGTAATGTTATGAATGCATCCAAATTACATATGAAATTATTAAACGATAGCATTGATTATTGTTACACAAAGTTCATTAAACCCTTGGTAGTACGTAGAGTGAGAAGTGAAATGAAACAAAAAGCAGAGACAGCATCCATTGAAGTGTTTGTAACTAATGTTAAACAGTTACTTCTTTCACCACCTGTACGTGGGAAAATCATTCTTGGCATAGATCCAGGATTTTCTCATGGTTGCAAGCTGGCAGTAATTTCTGAACAGGGAAATGTTCTTGAAACAGGTGTAATTTATCCACACAAAAAAGTGAAAGACTCTAGTGATGAATCTGCTAATGTTTTGGTGCATTTAGTAAATAGACACAAATGTACAATCTTAGCATTGGGTAATGCTACAGCTTGTAGAGAGACTGAAGTATTCCTAAATAAGTTAATGGAGTCCAAAACATTTGGTTCTACAGATGTATCATACACAATAGTGGATGAAGCAGGAGCATCAATTTATAGCTGTAGCACAGAAGCAAAGTCTGAGTTTCCAGATGTGGATACCAATATAATTTCTGCCATTTCTATAGCAAGACGTATACAAGACCCTCTTGCTGAATTAGTAAAAGTAGAACCCAAACATTTGGGTGTAGGAATGTACCAACATGATCTCCCAGAGAAACAATTATTAACATCATTGAATGAGGTAAATATGAAACCTTATAGGTTCAATGTTGCTAATATAATCAACCAATACATGTTACTAAAACAGGACGAAAATGATTACAGGTAGTTTCAGAGGTTGTGAGCTTTGTAGGAGTGGATGTGAACACTGCATCTCAATGCCTTTTGAGAAGAGTTGCAGGCTTAAATGCATCTAGAGCAAATAAGATTATAGAATGGAGGACAGAATTTGGTCCATTTAAAAATAGACAACAATTAATGGATGTAAAAGGAATTGGAAACAAAGTATTTGAACAGTGCGCCGGATTTATTAGAATATTACCAGAAACATCAACTACGGACAATGTAGTAAAGCCCAAACAGTCTACGAAGTCTACGCACACGTTTAATTTACTAGATCAAACTTGGATCCATCCTGAATCATACGATGTAGCTGAGAAATTTCTAAAATATTGTAATTGTAATTTAGAAGGTCTCGGCACCACAGCGTTTATTGAAAACGTGAAGTCACGGGCCATTGAAGGGTGCGTCGTGTTAGCCAAAAAACTTGACACAAACGAAACGACAATAGAAGTGATAATTAAAGGTTTATCCATGAAAAAGGACGAGGATATACGATTAAAGACTCGTGCTCCTTTGTTCAGAAAATGTATGCTCAGTATTAACGACTTAACCGTTGGAACGTCATTAACGGGTGCTGTACGCAACGTTACACATTTTGGAGCGTTTGTAGATATTGGAGTGGGTAGAGCTGGACTTATACCAACAAACTGGCTAAAAAATTGTACGGTTTCGGTAGGTCAGCGCGTAGAAGTGAAAGTATTTGAAGTGGATGTCGAACGTGGCAGGATTGGTTTAGAATTAACTAATGTTTTATAATTTGTTCCTTGTATAATTTATAAGTTTCTATGTAACTGTACCATAAATATTCTAATAAAATAAATTGTATTTTTATACGTGAAATCTTTGATTTTTTAAAACGACGAAACGTAGAAAGTGGTCCTTTGTGGTATCAGATACAGCAGATGGGACATCCGATGTACATCTGTAATGTACTGTCCTCCCTTCGTAGATCCTCTCCAAGCAAGAACCGCTGAGAACTCTATGAATAAACATAAGTACAGGACGTATTACACGTTGGGTTAGTATTTGCATATTTTACGCACGAGTCGTTGCAAGTTAACGACTAACAATAAATTGTCCCTCATCGTGCATTGACCTGGAATTAATCATATTGCCGAATAATAATTGGTCCATTCGTACGAATATTTGCCATTTCAGTTGGAAATCCATTTTAATTTTGTCATATATAATAACTATTGTTTATTTCACGTAGATTAATTCTCGAAAAGGAAAAGAAAATAAATAATTTTGAAGTAATTTAATTTTATAAGGGCAAATAAAAACGTTATTCCGTGAGCCTGGCTTGTTAAAATCATTAAAATTTTTCGATGGCGCAACGGAGCTCTCCAGTTTTCTGAACAGATGTCGCCAATTATACTTGCACGACAACCAGTCGGATTATACGTATATATACACATAACGTATCGTGAGCCTCAATTTCCACTTAATATTCCCGCTTATATATTCGGGCTGTGAACCGTGCCATTTAGGGGACGGTTCGCTGAACGGAGTAGATGGTGCAAATGGAAGCGTCGCGACCCTACGACGTCGGTTATTAAGACTTTATTATTCTTGCGTGTCATTCGATCTGTCTACGATGACTCGCGGTGAATGTTAAATACTCCCTTTTTTTCCCAATAATTTGCAATCGTTACTTTTATCCGAAACACACGTTATAAAAAATTTATTCTACTGATTTTATTCGATATCAATGGAACATGTTGGAATCGATTTTATCGACTGGGCAACTTTCAACTGATTATCGAACACTCTAAATATCGATTTCATTATTGCGTATATCATTCGATAGTAAGCATTCACGAATACTGATTTCTTTTTATCGTAAATTTCAATATTTACTTCTTATATAATTAGGTTATCGGTGTTAAATTAAAGGATATTTCAAATAACGCGTATTAACTATGCTCGATACGAAGTGGACACAGTTCTATCGATCTCATCGATTTCGAGCGTGATCTGCAGTATCGATTCTACGGTGTTACACTTCAAACGGGATACGTTCGTTCGTTCGTAACGGTTTGCGGAATCTCGAGTGCGGAAATATTTATCGTGGTGGCGAGAATCGAGCTGTAAATTTCGAATACGGTCACGCGGCGGTAAATAGGACAGCCATCCGAGAAGGTGCAGAATCTATTCGGTAAGCTGGAAAGTGGCAGAGACGAATTCTGAGCACGTACCACGGTGTTTTCTCCCCGGAGGAAGGAGTTCGAGGTTGCCGCGACGCGACGGTCAGATGTTACTCTGCATTGGATGCTGCAGAGAAAAGTCACAGACGCGACCGCGGTCTTTGACGACGACCGGTTAGTTTTAAATTATTACCTATTTTCAGCGAGTACTTAATAATTTATACTGCGTAATTTTTCGTCTCTAACGTGTTGCGCGCGCATCTAGAATTTGCCACCGGAAATTGCGTCGTAGTCTTACACAAAGCAATCTGACTAGGGTAGTAGCTTTTTAGCGGGAATTGTCTTGCTGCTGTAGTATTTCCGTGAAACGGTCTTTTTGTAATTATTCGGGTGTTTTTTCACGTGATAAAAAGTTCATGAATATTTTACGTTAGTGGGAGGCAGAAATGATCCGTAAAGCAAGGTAAGTTCTACAGGAAATCGAAATATACGCTAACAGACAGATAACGATGGTGTATTTCGAGAGATACGTAAAAAATGCGTAGGCAGAAGAGCGTACAGTCTAAGTACACCATTTTTTTTGCACAGCGATCCTCGTAACTTTTGCTCCAAGTTTCAATTATTAACATTTCAATGGAAACGTCCCGCAAATGTTTGCTAAAACGTGACGCGATAGTTTGCATACAAATAACCGAGATGAATTTTTATGCCGTTTCGTACCATATTTCGCGCGTAGTCTGACGCAACACACTGACATAACCGCACACTCCTCTCCCTCTGCCCGTCTCACTCTTCACCCTCTCCTGTTCCACCCTCTTTGTATGCACGGTGTGCACTTGCCATATACACATTACACGGCTACGTACAATTCTAGAGTAATAACAGGCAGTGCAGACGTGTACGAAATGGGGGCTTCGGAATAAAAGCCGAAAAAAGAAAAAATCTAACCTCTAAATTGAAAATAATTTCTATCGTTTGAAATATTGCAAAAAAGAAAAAAGAAATTCCACCACATTTTTAACCTACCATTTTTACAACGTTAACAGAAACATTCACCGTGATTATTCTAATTATCCAAGCGTGTTAGTTTAGATTAAAGTTAATTCCCATTCTTTTTCCACGCGACACACAGGTTCATTCTCCGCCGCCTATCATTTCTCAGTGTCTGGCCTCGACCGTCAGGCCCTCTCGCTGCAGACAATGGCTGAGCCGTTGCAGCAGCATCACCCGTATGCACGGTACGAGCCTCGAAAAGCCGCAAAAGTCACTTCTACGGCCTTGGATCCCGATACGGTGAGTCACACAAAGATGATCCCGCAGATAATGTCTCCGATGAATCGCCGCCAGTTTACCTGGATACGTGGAATAAAATACCAGAGAGAGAGAATTTTGTATATAATACACATGAAGAAATGGTTGCAAGATTTCAGGGGTTTATATTTCTTACAGAGAGGAATGAAATATACGAGCACATTGTTAAAACTTAATTTTACATAACTGGTGACTAAAGTTTATCAATTCCCTGAAACTTCAGAGCTTCCTAACTTTCCCTTTTCTTCCATAGAATACAAGAACAAGGAAACGTTGCTGTACAGTGAAACTTAATAGCAGCATAGACGCAAAAGCTATCGTAAGCAAGCGGAGAAAGGACAGAGAGAGAGTAGCAGAAAGGGAAACGTGGAGGAACAGCTTGATTCTTAAAGTCGAGAGAACGAATTGAGCCGCGACCTACTTGATACCTTGCTGGTAGACAGATACACGGATCTCCTGGAAAATTTATCCGTGATCCGCGAGACAGCGGACAGAAGGTGGGCTTAAGAGTTTCCCGATAGAGGCGTATACCAACCTGGGCAGATTGCTTGCTAAAACTTTCAACGTAGTCCGGAACGAAATCCTCTGTTTTCGGGAAATGATCCCGACTACGAGAATACAATAACGAAATAAAGCCCTGGAACGTCGAGTGTGTTGCGTTCTCCACTCTCTTCCATACATCTCTCTCTCTCTCTCTGTATCTTTCTCTGTTCTGCTGTCTTCCTATCCGAGGCGTGCTCGCATCCGCGTCACGGTTTTCAGCTTCGTGACCATTGTTCCCTGTATACACCAGGGTATCTCCGTTCCAACGACGAACCCTTCTTTCGCCTCGCGCGCCACCGTTCTACACAATACTATCGACGAATTAAAAGCTCGCAACCTCTAGACGCATCATCGCGACAGCATCGATGGCGTTCCGCCAACAACGGCCCACCGCCTGGCTAGGGAGATTGAATTTTTGAAATATTCAAAGGCCACACGAGGCGAGCTTAGCGTCGCTAATATCGGTACCGGGTTCCTCCACAGTGTACATACACCCAAGAGACGTTTCCACGTTTATCTTCTGTCTATTCTTCGAAAGTTAAGGTTAAGGCTCTCCTTCAAGTATTCCATTTCTTTATTTCTCTTCTTCTGTTAAAGGGAATGTTGCATACGCAACACACACACACGGTTATCTCGTAAATCAGTCGTAAAGAGGTATCCTGGAGTGTTACACAGTATCGCAGATTATTTTCTAGAAATTCTTCGTGACGTCCTTTAATCATCTTTATGTAAATTTCGTTTCACACGTTTCCCCGACGAGACCGCAACTGGTCTCAACGGTAATCTCTTAAATTGCTAGCTTTATTCCCTCACACTTGCAATAACATTTACTCGAAAACCAATCGATACTTCCGTTGTACACCGGCAGACCGATATTACAAACAAGATAATCGTTCAAACTTCGTTCCGTCGCTCGTTTGTCGAGCAACAACCGCATTATCGGTTTTCCAATCGCGTCTGTGCGCAACGGTCCGCATCTACTTCCCTCGTTCTCATCCAAAGTAAATCGCCACCGCTCCCCGACACTTTTTCATCGCTGTGTCAATTATATTTCCGTGGTGGCGGGATTTTCTAATTCAGGAATGGATGGTAGGTTTGTCGGGAATAGATGCATTTATCTCTTCATCGACATGGTTCGCTTGTTATATTTATTTTATTTATAATAAATTAAGCAGCAATCGTGTACAATACTTTGTTACTAAAATAGGAAAATTTCAGGTCTGAATAGGCTCCACTGCTTTACCACTTCAGACTATGCCGATTCTACGCTGAAAAACAAGGCTGCTCAAGCAGGCCTGTTTCGGGCGCCCGCCGTTGCCCGCGGGCAAAACTAGATACAAGCGACGCTTTACGGCCCTCAAAGCGGAGTGAGGAACAATTTCTACTCCGCTACATTTCTACTACGTTAGTACAGTATCTCATCGCAGTTTCGTTGCCTGCGAAGACGTTGATTATCGCTCAAATATCACTCTGTGCCCGAGCTAGTCTCACCGCTGCCCTACGGGCAACTTTCCGAACAGCTCCGAGTTTCTCTTGGAAAATTAATCTATATGCTAAAAAAATCTCGACTCGTCGTTCTGGTATTAAGAAAAACCGCATAGCCTTGTCGCAACTACGAAGGACATGAGGAGGGAAAGGGAGAAGGTGGAGGAAGGAAAAACAAGGAAGGTTGGGTGTCCGTATGTTGCAGCAGGGACCACAATGCAGCGTAACGACGAAATATAGGCAGATATTGCGCGGGGGTGAGCGTGTAGG